CTAAAATATATTACTGAGTAGAATGAATGAATGAGAATGTAAGTAATACAGATTAGTGGTAGTGCAAATATTACAAGGTGCAATCTAATGGCAGTTTAGAGCAGTTGAACAGTGTGATGGCCTGGGGCATTTAGCTGTCTCTGAGCCTGTGTATTCCCTTCCATGAGCACCAGTGGGTTGAGGATGTAGTGCTCCTGCCACCTCTCTCTTGAACATTTGTTTGTTTTCTTGCACCCTGGAACAGCTGAGATCCGGAGACGCCAAATGGTTCCCATTTGTCAGCTGCTCTCGCTGACACACGGCTGCCAGGAGATTTGTAAAACTAAAAAGATCAAGTAGTTCAGCACTAAATTGAGGAGTGTGAAAAACACTTGACACTGTGGACTGTTGCTGATTAACTTCTGGGCCCAGAGACTCGGGCGACTGACCCAGATGGTGCAGATGAACGAGGGGGATGTTGGATATCACCCTGGATAAGCCTGTCTGAGCCACTGCTGGTGCCGGCTGATCTTCAGCTACTGTCACCTGAACGCCACAGGTTAGCTGACGTCTCACAGGGGTGAAAAGAAATAAGACCTGACGCAACATGAAGTGGACGGTTTACATCCATGCACGCTGTTGTGCCAACTGATCAACTGTCGGACTTCATTAGTTATTTCTTAATGTTTAGGGAACAAGAGAACCTGCACAGTCTGCACAATAAACATTCTTCTTCTCTGTGTGAACATTTGCTTTTATAGGTGAAAGGTGATCCTGCAGCCCCGCCCCCAAAACTGTCTGAGGGGGGCGTGTTGTGACGTCACTGAAGGACGGGGGTGCCCGCCTGCGTAAAGTAGTCCGACCGGAAACAACGAGGGCGCATATAGGAGTTTTCAACTTCAAAGTAAAAGCCCCGCACACGCAGGACAACCGTGAAACGACAGTGAAACAGCACAGTTGTGTAATTATAGATTTAGAATGGAATGGTTAATGGTCAAGTAGTGACAGTTTCATTGGGACGTAAATTTATCAGGATCATTTTATTACAGCCACAGAAAACGCTCCTGTAGTTCTGGGTTATTTTCTCAGGTTTTGACATAAATGTGCATTATTCTTTCAGAAAACGTTTATTTACAACACTATAGCAGTTTGTTTATTTTCCATAAACCCAGTATAATTCAGATATTCCTGATTTTTATTTAGGACAAACTTCTATTAAAGAATGCTGCTGATTTAAAATGACAACAACCACATTTTCCACTGTGACAGCAGAGATATAAAACTAATACTCAGTGTAAGTGTTAAAGAAAATCCCAACCTTCCACTTCACGTACATTGTATTTGGATTTACAGGATGTCGAATATCAGATGGATGAATTGCAGTTATTTTTAATGTTTTCATCAGAAACTGTATGCAATACCCCAATGTAGGTTATTAATGCTGAAAATTGGAATTCCATGGCAGATATACTTGGCCGTTTTATTACAAACAAAGTAGTACACAAGGCAGATTAACACAATATAAAATGAATGTAACATTTGCACCCTGACAATCACACATTTCTAATTAAAACACAAAAAGTTTGTTGCTTACCAAGAGGGCATGTGCACAGGCGTGATCACAGGAGCAGGAATGAATGCTGCACACCTGAGCTCTATCAGCCTCTTAACTGCTGAGAGCTCTCACCTTGATTTGTTGATTATTTTCTCTTTTGGGCTTTTGTATGTATTTTAATATATGTTGCATTTTATGGTCTCTTTCAAATCCATTTTAGCTGTTTCTCCCAGAATGATGCTGCTGCTGTGGCTTTGCTCTCATTGAAGAAGGCAGGGTCGATTACTTTTAAGAATAAAAAAAAACAATGTGAGCATTTAACACAATTCTTTGTAAAAAATTAAGAGGAGAAGAAAATATAGATATTTTCAGATAAACGTAAAAGTGAAAAATAAATCTATTTAAGTGGAGCGTGATGTTTGGTTGTAGGTGTTGATTTTGGACCATAGATCGTGATGGTGGATTGTGATGGTGGATCATGATAGTGGTGGTGGATTGTAATGGTGGATTGTAGATTGTGGTGGTGGATTGTGATGGTAAATTGTAATTATGGATTGTGAATTGCGGTGGCAGCTCATCGTGGAATATGATTACAATGAGACTGCTTGATATACTACTCTTATTGAGGGTTAATGACAGAGACTGTTGTTAAGCCCTATGAGACAAATTGTGTAATGAGCTGAATTGATTGATTCAAGTATTGTGCAGGTACATGAAAACTGTACTTAAGTACAATAACAAAGTAAATGTGTTTGTTACGTCACCACTAGTGACGTAACAAACACATGCTGGGCATTTATTTTGAAAATCAGGAGCGGAAGTGTGTGCCAGTGACTCTTTGCGCTTTACGCTGGTGAAGGATGGTGTGTTTCCGTCCTGATGAATTATCTAAAGTGTGCAGTGTCCTTGTCAGGGAGCAGAGGAGTCGCAGTCAGCCCCGGAGCAGCAGCGGAGCAGCGGAGCAGCGAGGGCAGAGTGTCCGGCTCGGAGTGTCACTGTGCGCGGGCGTCAGGAACCACAGGTTACCCTCCTCCTCTCCGGGAGATCTTGCCGCTGATCCCCGGTATGTGCAGCCGCTTTCTCCTTGGGTGACCTACACAGCAGCCCGGACGCCTTCGCGGCTCAACACCTGCTGGTGAGGAGGGGGAGCGCGACAGGTTCCACACAGCGACTCTGCTGCAGGCGTCAGGCCCGAGAGAGGAGCAGCGGGGCCGGGGAACACGGGTCGGTCCGGTGGGTTCTGACTGCGTCAGGTGGAGGACAGAGGAAGCTGCGGAGTTGGCACACGCATACGCACGCACGCACACACACACACACACGCTGGCGCTGCTGCAGGTTACATCACATTATGTACACAATCACCAGAGGTCCCAGCAAACTTGCTACACAGCGGAGGACAGGTGAGTGTGTGCGTGTGTGTGCGTGCGTGCGTGTGTGTGCGTGTGCACTGTCCGCATGATGCAACGTCACGTCAGCTTCATAACAAACTGAGCACGTGGATCATTTCTCTGCGGGTTTTGTCTGTCAGGTCCAACACAGCAGATCGAGAGCAAGTTCAGCGACTTAAAGCTCAGGCCGACGACCTGGCTCACGTCCAAGTAAGTAGTGTGTGTCCGTGTTTGTGTAATGTGTGCGCGTGCGTGTGAGCGATCATGTAATGATGTGACCTCGGGTAGCTCTCTCTCTTTGTGTGTGTGTGTGTGTGTGTGTGTGTGTGTGTGTGTGTGTGTGTGTGTGTTCTATTCAGTAGGTTTTGAAATGTACTCCTGGCTAAAGCCCCCCCCCCAGTCTAATACAACCATCACTAATACAAACCATGATAAAAGGTGACATTTTTAAGCAAAGACTAAAGTTATTAATGCACCAACAACAATCCTCATTTAACCACAATGCATTGCAATGACAAGGTGTCTTGCATTTTGAACTAGAATGACACTATAGATGCTATGTGCCTCCCCACTAAGACTCAACAGTCTGCACATGAAACCACATTTATACTCACCACAGCTGGATTTTTATGTGGATCTGCACCAAATGCTGAGAGGTGGGGGTAGAGTGGGTCGTCCACTAACCAGTAGGGTAAGTCGTTCGATCCCCAGAGCTTCCACTACGTATGAAACAGTGTCTTCAGCAAGATACTGAGCTCTTGATGGTTGTGCATCATGATTCTCCCCCTTTCTCCTCTCCACCAAAGTCTTGAGGTTTTAATTCTGCAGCACATTACATGGCCTTTTCCTGGCCGTTGTTCAAATGCATTCTTGGATTAACAAAGGAACCTTTGGACGCTTGAAGGTTCAGAGAATTTAGGTGCGAGGGATCTATTGGCAAAAACTGAAAATAAAATAATCCCAGTGTGTTTCATCTAAATTGTACGAATGGTTCTTTCCCTTCCCCTACAATGGGCTCTTTATATTTACATCTGGAGCAGGTCCTGTCTACGGAGGCTGCCATGTTTTTAACTGTAGCCCAGACTGAACCTTTAAGCACAAATCAATGCTGAGAATTAGTTCATATTTGTTTCGTTAAAGGTAAATAAAGAATATTCTGCCTGTGAGCATCACTACAGTTAACTAATCCACCTGCCAGTCTGGGAACCATGAAGCTACCTGACGTTAACCCGCCGACCTGCATCATCAGTACATATTGGGATTGTCCATGTGTATTTTGTTTTGTCTGAACCCCTCAAGCTGACACTCTGTGATAACCGCCCTCTCGTCTATTCAGCTCTCCACCCCCGAAGATCGTGTTCAACCGCCTCAATGGGAAGCGCTACCACGGCGCAGCCACGCAGAAGGCCAGCTGCCCAGCAGAGGGATTCACTCCAGCACACGAGGAGAACGTCAGATTCGTGTATGAAGGTGAGGCTCACGGATCAACAGATGGGAGGTTGTAGATCATGACGCCAGGAGACACTGGAGGTGTTTGACTCAAGGTTACAACATCAGAGGTTGTGAGGATCAACTTTTGACAAATCAATTTCTCTTCTACTGGACAACACATTTCCTCCTCACTGAGAAGCTGCACTGAGGTTGCAGATGCTAAGATTGATTCAATCCATATTAAATTTAAACCATTTTAAAACAGAAAATCTAGCTGACAAAACTTTTAAATCAGAGGTGAGATGACTTGTTGATATTTTGATAAGTAAGTAGCATATAAAAATAATCTGCAACTATTTTTATATGGGATTAATTGTTACAGGGAATAGCTCTGGGAGTTACTGATATTGATGTACTGGGTGTTAGTGTCAGGATAACCTGTCATAGGTTTACACTTTTATCTTTCCCTTTAAAGTAGGTTTATCCTATGAAATTAAATATTAATTTGGAATGGGGGATAGATAGTTTACAGGTTTAGCTTGTGACAGCCCCCCTTGTGATAATTTAACTTGTTAAGTTTGAGTCGAACAAACATGTTTTTTTAACAAACAAACGTACAATAGAAGCTCTGATGATGTGTGAGGTGGAGACGAACTGTCCACAGGCCTCAGATCAGTCAACGATGATGAAAAACCATCACTGTGCACTATTCGCGTTTACCCAGCATGCCTCAGTACTGGGCAGTACTCTCATGCCCTGGTGGAAATGAATGACTTGTGTGGGGCTAAATCGGCGTGAACCAGCTGTCTGTGTTACTGTTGGAGCGCTGCCAGTTGTGTGATGTTCTTTTGTGACGTTAAAGATCATCTGAGGGAAAGAGCTTCTTCCTTTTCCCCTGCGCTCACACCTAAAGAAAAACCTCTGTCACAGCCTGTCGACTCGTTTCAAGGCAGAAAACCTGACGGGCCTGAAAAAATAACCCCCACCAACAAATGTCACCTCTAGGCGTGATTACATTGTCCTTCAACCTCCCTCATGCACACACACAACTGGTTTCTGGAATCTGTTGTTTATATTTGACATCTTTATGTTACACAAGCTGCACAAACTATGAATAAATATTGTGCATCTCGGGGGGGGGGGTGAAGCTGATAAACACACATCACAGTCCAGTGTGCTGCGCTGCATTAGTGTTTGCAAATCCACTTTAAAGTTATAATCTCCTGAAAGTGGAGCGTGCTCTGCAGATGCTGCTTTGAGGCAGCGGAGGCTTTTAGAAAGTGACGTCTTGGGGATGTCTGTGTGTAAAGGGTGAGTTCAGAAAAAGGTGAAAATTAAAGACCGACCCATGCCAACATATAATGAGTTCTTTTTAGGATCATGGTTCATCCCTCCACCAAGTTGAGTGGAAATCCATTTAGTAGTTTTTGCGGAAACTAGCTGATAAACAACCAACTGAAAAACAGGCTTTTATTTTTACACTTTCTTTCTTTTAAATATTTTGGTCGATATCTCAGAGAACAATTCAGGGATCTTGATGTAAAAATCAGACATGCTTAGGGGACTGATATTCATGAGTGCGAGGAATTTAAATAAAAACCTGGAACTAGTAAATTTAAATGTGGTTTCAAGTGGACTGTTGGGCCTTGGTGGTGGTATGTATTCTAGTCCCATTCTAGTTTAGTTGTATTTTCTACCAGATAAATAATAAACCTGATGACTTTTGTTGCATTTAAAGTAACTCTGCACACTAAATGCTGTGTTTTTGTCTGTGTGCAGCGTGGCAGGAGCTGGAGCAGAGGCTTGGGGACGTCGGGAAGTCGACCGACAACCAGAGGCCCATTCAGTACACTGAGAAGACCCCCAGTGCTGCAATGAAGAGTAAGTCCCTGCATCTCTTCTGCCACTTCACACCATCATCCCATGCAGTGAGCTTTTAAAGTAAACGACAACAAAGTAAATCCACCTTCTTTAAATCAAATGTCACTGCTCAGTTTTACAGCAGCCTGACAGATAACCCTCCTCCTGCTGTGTAACCTGCTGAACATTGAACCGTAATCTCACCGGTTAGTTAAACACAACAGGAAACATGAATGGCTGCTCTAATCTCTCAGCATGAATCACAAACCAAGGCTTTATGTGTAGCAAGAGGGAGACTGTCGTAACAAGTTTCTTTAATTTTTAACACTGGTCACAGAGAACCGGACTGTTCCAGATAAACCAGCTCTTGCTGGTTCACACACTAAGGTTTCTTCTGTGGCTCTGCTAAGTCATTTCAGTCGCTTAGGATGGATTCTTCCTCACCATTATTATTGATTGATTGATCAGCGCGTGTTGCCCTGAGGATTATCTGCAATCATTTCCTCCTAGACAAAATTTCATTATGTGCAAATCTGTGCTTCAGGACATTGTGCTAATCAGGAAATATTAGCATGCTATTCTAAAATGGTAAATGTACACATTAAACATCATCAGCATTAACATTCAGCTCAAAGATCTGATTGTCCCTCTGACAGATTTTTAACACATTTGAAAACTTCCATAGCGAAAACATTTTCATTCTGCAATACTGAGTATGAATGCTCTTCTGCAGTCCCTCAGGTTTTAGGTTTTTACATCTGTACTGGTCATCCCTCTTTTCTTTTAATAACAAATTTGTAGTTGGTATTCATGTGACATTATGAATTAACTAAATGAGTAAGTTATAGGACATGGATTGTACTTTAATTCCCCTCTGTTGTGTCTCTCTTGCTGTCTGTGCAGACTTTGTGCCCATAGACCTGGAGGAGTGGTGGGCTCAGCGCTTCCTCGCCAACATCGCCAACCTGTCATGACCGGTTGATGCTTCGAGTCGGGACAGGAAGCTCTATGTTGATGCTCCATCGGCGAAAGGCGTCACAGGAGTTACAGCGGCAGGAGCAGAGTCCGTCTCCAGGATCTGCGACGCGTCATCTTGATTTGATGCTGCGTAGAGAGAACTGGGTGCACAAGACAAAACCGCCGTGAATGTAGCGACGCTGACCTGACTGTGAACACAGGGCGGACTCCATTTTGTGCTGCGACAAACGACCCGTCTCTCTTTACTTGAGTGACGTGTTGGTTAGAAGTTGTGAGATTTTTTTTCCATCTTTATCAAGAGTGCTCTGCTGTATGTGTCTTTGCTGAGCTTTGGATATGAATCTACTGAAGAACAAAAAAAGTAAAATGGCTTGTAAGAAACATTCTGTGTGGAATAATTTCTTCAAATTGATTTATTTTGCTGATTTACACAAATCCAAACTTGGTATTAATAGAGGTGAAAATAAGAATGTATTTATTAGCCACTCCAGATTACATCAAGATTGACTGAGGAATCATTTTTGAATAAAAATATATTTTGGTTACCACAGAGCATTTTAACATTTACCTTGTTTTATTTATTTTATTTTCCAGTAAGTCAAACCTTAAACCAAACCTGTCCTGAGGAAACAACCTATTTGAAAAAACTGGTAAAACTGTGGATGAACTTTTGAGGATTCAAGTACAAAGTCGATCAGGAGCAAACACACAATCTTTTAAAACTGTTCATAATTTAAAGTTCTACTGCGCCTTTCTTTTCTGGAAATTCATGGTCAGACAGATGTTCCTAACACTGAAGTAAAACCGGCCACTTCTCTCAGTCACAGTGTTTTAAAGTGAAATTGGAGCAGTTTTTTTCCTGCCTGTTCCTCTTACACCCGCCGCCTTCGTCCTCTTTCCCCGTCTGCGGCTGGGTGCAGAGTGGCCTGGCTTGGCCGTGGTGAAGGTGATGCACTGAGAGTCCAGGTAGTCCATCAGCTTGGCGGCACCCAGGCGGATCCCGGCCTCCTTGAGTCGCAGCTGGAGCTGGGAGAGAACCAGAGGCTGGTACTGGAGGATCTGACTGTACAGCCCGGAGTCCGACAGGATGAAGAAACGCACGGCCTGGAGGCGATCCTGAAGTCGAGTCGCCGCCTGGGAGGCAGAGATGCCACCGTCACTGTCTGAGTCGGAAGTGAGGCAAAGCTCTGGATTGGACCTGATTAGAGGGAGGTGGTTAAAAATCAGACACTTTATCAGTGGAAGTTATTTCAAAACTACACCAAGTACTTTTCCCATTTTATGTGATAATTCACCATCTTACACCCCTAATTGGAAATTGATTTTTGAATGTTGTCAATCTGCCCCATTTTCCCTGTTACTTACTTGATTTTACTAATAATACTTCTCCATAATCGTATCATAATCTACTGAATATTTTCACAATTAAACATTTTGTTTAAAGAATGTCACAAAGTTGACTGAAACAACATCCCACAACCCACTAGGATTGAAACTGATAGTTTTGTCTGACCAATAGTCCAAGATACACAGATATATAATAGTTTAAAATAATTTAAAACAGGAAAACCAAAATACTGATGATGAGGAATCCTGGTAGACTGGATGCTCTGTGAGATGCTTTATTTGCTGGAGCAGCCCACAGATTCGTCTTCGACCCACTTTGACCACACTAACAGTGATCAAAGGTTTAGTTTCATGGTGTCATTGTGAACCACGAGCACGAACACTTGTCTATGTCAGTGAGCAGAATATTAACAGAACCCTCTGAAATTCTGTAAAGCAACACAACAATTGTGCACTGACTCAAGCACGAAGCTGCGCAACACCTGAGGGGATTCATGCCGTACCTTTCAGACTCTTCACTGGCGGCTGTTGAAGAGGTGTTGGAGCTCTGTGAGGCAGAGAGCAGCTCTTCCTCCTCCTCCTCTCTTCTCTGTTTCAGAGGGGAGATGGGAGCCGGTGCTCTGGGCTCTTTGAACTTCACTGTCTGGCTGCCAGCACCCGCTGAACTGGTGTTAGGGGGGGGCTTCCTCTGAGCAGCACGCCCCGCAGAGGCTGCCTCATCCTCGGAGTCTGAACTGACCAGCTGGTGGGTGTACTGGTGGATCTCCTTCAGTTTGAGGATCATCTGGCGCTTTGGTAAAGGCCGAACGCCGAACCTGCACAGAGGAGAAAGTCAGGCAACAGATGGAGGGGAGGAAAACAAGCTGAGAAAGAGGAGGAAAGCCAGACAGACTAAGTTGACAGTGACATCAGGTAATCGGATAGGCTCCTCAGTTAATAGCATTTGATTAAAAAAGAAAAACATGAGGGTAAAGAAGGTTCACCGACTCTTTCACATGAGGGCCGAGATGAGAGGGAACTGACTGACCTGTTGAGTTTGTTCTTGAGGTCCGGTGTGTCCATGTCAGAGTAGTGGGGCATGGGAGTGACGGGCACCACGGAGCAGCGTTTTCTATTGTGTGATGATGCTGTTGAGACAGAAACAAGAAGATATTCTTTAGAACTTTGATTTCTTTACCATAATACTGTATAATCTCCAAAAGATATCTACCAGCTTTCTGAACTCCTGTTTCCCACTCATTTTAGAATGGGGACAGAGACAGACCGTAAAGATAGTCAGATAGAAAGAAAGCCAAATAGTGTTTGAACAGAAGTGTGACTCTTTCACCTGACACTTGTTAGAAATAGCTGACCTTGGGGCTGAATTACCCTCTGGTCTTTTGAGGCTGCTGTCACTGAAGCGTAACTTTAACTAAACAACAGAATTCTCACAAGAATTTTGTCAAACATCAGTGACAAAAAAATGGCCTCTTGCTTGACCCTAAGGAACGGACACCTGAGCCTCAGTATCTGTTGATGGATATGTTGGATGGATGAAACATTTCCATTATCACACTCTGTTGTAGAAGTAGTGCTGGAAGATATGGCAGTAAAGGTTGTGGTTTTCAACTCTTCTTCATTATTTGTTATACCTCCGCACTGTTTTCAAACTATAACCATTATATTGTTATAGATTGAAAATCATATTGATCATATTTATCAAACCTCCCTGCCTAAAGGTGCATTAACACCACCTACTGAATTGGAGTGTGGGGAAAGAGGAAATGAAGAAAGAATCGTGCTAACTGGATCCAACATATAGACTTTGACGCTCTGTAAATCAACATCCTGCCAACCTTAAAAGATGTTACTCATGGTAGGATGTTCAGATTCAGATTGTTTGATTCTGTGAGCACTGAGGTTGAAGTACGACTTCATACCTGGTGTTCTGAGCTGAGCAGAAGGGTTCACCCTCTGAGAGAGAGGAAGGGCCTCCTCTTGTTCCTCTTGCCAGCTGTCCCATATTTGTGGGTTCAGGAAGCTGTTGCTCTGCTCTGGTGGTGACGGGGTGAAGGAAGCGTTTCTATGAGCCAGTGCACTGGTGGTTGGTTGTGCACTTTGGGCTTTAGATGGAGAGGAGTTCTCCAAATCGCTGCAGCTGCTCAATGACTGGATACAGCGAGTCGATGGCGGACGATGACATTCAACAGAGGTTGTTTCTTTTCGTCCCGGGCTACGCTCCTGTCGGCTGTATCCCCCGCTGTCCTCCAGCCTCAGACTGAAGCAGCCTGGGTTGGCTTCCACGCAGGCGTCAAGGCCCCAAGAGTCATTGAAAGCTATGGGAGGCTCGTCCATGAAGCTCTGCTGCAAACTAGACTCGGCAATCTCTGCCTCCTCACTTTCTTCTTTTGCCTCCTCCTGTTGTCCTTCAACACGTGAGTCTTTATTTTTACACTTGCTTTCTCTTTCTGCCCCCTCATTTCTTATTCCCCCTCTCTTGAGCTCAGCCCCTGTGCTCTCATGACTGCTGGACTCAACAGAACGTTGGCTCTCACTGGAGGACTTGTGTTTCTGTGAATTATGAAGACCTCTGTGAGATGAAGAGGGGGAGGACAATGGGGAGAGATGAAAGCTCCCTAATTCTGTCTTCTCTGGGCTCTCAGATGACGCCCTATTGCTCCCTTGACTTGTTGACCGCTGCTTGTCGAGGCTGCTGTTGAGCGGGGAGGCAGCAAGAAGAACAGGGGGCTGCTGGAGCTCTGTGTGCAGGGGGGTGCTGCTGTAGGGCTGCCGTTGGACGTGTTGGAGTGTTTCCTGCTTTGAGGAAGATTGGAAGGGATGACGGTGAGATGAGCTTGAGAGGAGTGCAGACTTAATTTTGTGCGGGAGAACTGCAGACACTTCTCTGTTCTTATTTCCGTCATCACTACTGGTTCTTTGAGGGGAAAATGTGAGATCCAAGCTGGAGCTACAGGGAGCTGTCTCTTTCAGTTTCAACCTGGGAACGCTGCCCTCTGTTGGGCCAACGTGGGCAGAAACTCTGCTTGAGTTGTGAAGTCTGTTGTGAAGTGGTAGGGCAGGGGAAGAGAAGAGAGAAGAGCGTGAAGAAGACGAATCGCCTTTAGGGAACAGCTGCGTCCTGCATATGCTGCTTTTGCTCTGGGTGGAGCTGGACCTGGAGGAGCTGGTCCTGCCGCATCTTTCATGCTGCACCGGTGTGGACGGGATCAGCCAGGAGACCTCAGGGGAACAGTCTGGACTCGGATCACAACCAGAACCTGGATGACATATATCCGAGGCTGCAGATGGATCACCTGCATTTAACTTTAAACTGTGGGACACTTTATTCTCCATGAGCGGTTGAATAGGTTTTGGGATTGACTGAGGCTTGATTTGCGTGTAACTCTGCAGGTTTCGGACAATGCAAGGAGAATGTGACAAAGGACTGCAGGGTCTAAGAACAGCAACATCTACCTCCATCTCCTCGCTTGAGTCGGACAAAACTATGAGCTCTGGCTCCTTCTTCTTCGGAGGTGGATCAGGAGAAACAGGAACACAAATACTACGAGAACCTTGGCTTTCTCGCTTCAAAGAAAGACATTCTTTAGAAACGTCCAGTTCAACAGCATCTGTTCCTGAGTCACCCGCCTGACCCGGGGACAGACCTGTGACAGGGAGGTTGGACGTCGTAGGTTGAGGGCTCTGGGAAAAGTCATCAAATCCGCTTGGTGAGGACTGGAGCAAAGTTATGCCGGAGAGTTCGCATGAGGGTTTGTGAGAGGACTGGTGTTGCTGATATTGCGAGGTGGTTGTCTTTAGTAGACTGGAGGTTGAAGGGGATGTGGAAGAGGGGTCTTCGTCCTCGTAGACTCCCCAAGTGTCTGAGAAGAGGCGGCTGTAGGTGGGATCCAGGCTGGGGTCTGGCTCAAGTTGAGAGTTTGGCTTTGTAGTTTTCTTACTCAACTCTCTCTTCACTTCTGTCAGTGCTTCCTCTCCATCATCGACCTTTTCCTCCTCTTCATCATCCTCTTCTTTGTTTTCCTCCTCCTCCCTCTTTCTCTGTGTTGCTGCAAACTCGTAGATCTCCTCCAGCTCTTCCTCGTTCACCTGGTCCTCACAGATTCCTCGCTCACCAGATGCGACATCATCGGTTTGATGATCTTCTTCCAACCTTCTCTCCTCATCATCTCCAACATCAGTATCCAATCCCTCATCTTCCTCATCCTCTTCATTCCACATAGAGCGGAGCAGCACCATGAAGGCCTGGTCTGTTTGGTCGTTGTTCTCGCTCTGGTTCGTGTAGTCTGCCTCCTGTCCAGGTGTCGGTGACTCACAAAGATGGTGCAGCTCCTGCAAGTCAAACCTTAATGAAACACAAAAAGAACAGAGTCACCGCATTAATGATAGAATAAATATGTAGATTTTTTGGTTTCATGTGAGGGGTCATTCTTCCTTGTGATTATGGCCTTAAAACAGCTCAGTTCAAAGTAAATGAGAGTTTTTGTTTTACAAAAGTATGTTGTTAAATGCACAACTGAATAAATGAGAGAATCAAAACCAGGAAAACAAAAAAAGGGAATCAAATTAGCTCAACCAGAAGCTGAACAGGAACATCACACACTGATCGAAGTGCATGTTTACTATTAAAATATAATATAAAAAATCTGTGCTTCAATCTCTACACTAACCTTGATGCCAGCTCTAGTATGTGAGGTCGCAGTGAGGCTGGGATGGAGCAGTGGGCCGTGTAAAGGTACTGCAGCAGAGCGAACACGGCCTGTCCCGGGACGTCGTTCATCAACACCCTCTGGGCTGCAGACGAACCCTCCTCCTGCACCCCAAAACCACTTTCATGTACCTGTGAGAGGATCGAAGGACGGAAAACAGAGGAAATGATGAGTTGAAAGTAAAAGAGTAAAGTAGATAGAAATTCTTGGGCAAATATTGTGTAACACTTTTCCCCTTGAATATTAAGCTTGATATTGGGAATTTGTCTTTATTGTATTGTGTTGTAAAAAACAAAAATTCTTCATAATTTTTCAAAAGATTGGATTTGATTACTACAGGTCCACACATCAATTATTTATCTCTGATCTAGTAACAGGGCTGTGCCCATGTTGGATAATTTTTACCATTTCTGCCAGCAGGGGGCAGCGAGCGTACACCATGAAGGAATGGGCAAAGTAGATGTCTCCACTGTCGACCTGGATCTGCACATCACTGAGCTGAGGGTTGTTCACCATGCTGCTCAGGTCTGACGTCAGTCTCGATAGTGCCACCTACAGCAGATCCAAGGATACACAATCAATGTTTTTAATTGGAAATCGAAAGGTGACATTGTATCCATTAGTGAGTCAATCTGCACTGAATCACAGGTTAATGAGAGTATGGCTGGTCTTACCGATTGGTGGCCTCGCTCTTCATCTCCACGTGGATGGTCACTTGTCCTCTGTGCTCGTCTGTGTGTGTTCTCCGAGCGTGTGTGTGCCGTCTCTGGCAGGAAGCCGCTCACACATAGGTCAGCCTGCTCCTCTGCCTCCTCGAGGACAAAACCGCTGAGACGAAGGTTTGTGGACAGCCTGGCTCTGTTCTGCTCATCTGTGGGAACAAAGACAATCACGATCAGAACTTTAACTATGCAGCATTAAAAATTGGCAAGTTGCTCCCACAGGCTACCAGAGAGTAGCAGTATAAGCCAATCAAAAAAAAAAAAAGGAAATATAAGGAATGTGTCTTTGTAGAGTTGTGTATAGGGCTGGGCAACATGACCTCAAATCAATATCCCGATTATTTCAAACTTATACCTTGATTAGGTGCATTACTCAGTGCCAGTAAACAAGTGACTCTGCTCCTCGGCTCTTTTCTAATGACTCACACGTAGAGCTGGTCTTTATAAAATCATATTTATGTTCCTGTATAAACAGGGAGTCGCTTCTTCTTCAACAACAAAGTTAAATCACTGCGTTGCGTCACAATCAGCAGGAAGAACTTCTCTCCTGTCTGCAAGAATGTGTGGGTCCGCTCGTCTCTGTTGCATTCACAGAAAGTGACGACCACATTTATTAATCGATGATGTCGGATCATGAATCTGGATCATTGCGATGTCCTGGCTGGGTGCATCATGTTAAGTCTCGTGTTGTGTGGCAGATGAGGTGCTAGCAAAATGTCTAAATACGTGTCTCACAAACTCAAGGGCGAATTAGACAAAAACAAATTAAACTCAAGGATTGTTCAGGTCCTAATAACCTCTGATTAGTGTCTGTGTTTATAGTAAACATGTAAAGTGAGCGCAGGTCAGCGGGGGAGTGAGGAGGGGGGACATAAGGCAGGGTTATACAGTACAGAACTTAGTGGAAACCTGACAGATTGGGAATGTACGCATAGAGGAAAGTATTACCTGAATTCACCTACATGAGCAAAATGAAGTTGATTAGTGATTATTAATGTCAGTTTTGATACATTTTCAGTTAATTGACCAGCACTAGTTGTGTATGAAGAAGGGAGAATGTTATTAATGTCTTATTCCCTCAAGAAAATACCATTTTTTTTAAACAAAAGCTGAGCAGTTAAAACATTTGTCATTAAACGATTTCTTATATTTTACCGACATTAACCGATTTTAACAATATCTTTTCCACAGATGGTGTGAATGACTGTACTGTTCATCAGGATAAATGCATCCTCCCCAAAGGTAAACACACCATTAATGAGAATACAGTTTGTGTTAAAGTGTGTACGTGTGTTACTTTTGTCAGTGCCCGAGGTCATGTATTCACACTGTGTGAGGGTCATGCCATCTTCAGCCAGCTCCATCAGGTCCCTAAGGGTCTGGCTGCCCACCGGGAGCTGCCCTGTGCCCGGGGTGGAGTGAGCAGAGGAGGAGGCTGCAGTCTGGGAGGATGAAGGCAGGGTGGAGGTCCTGGTCCCTGCCACAGGAGTTCCTTCAGTCAGAGGTCGGAGAGAAGACTCCGACTTGTTTCCTGCGCTCAAAGGGGCTGCAGCAGTCTAAAGGTGGAAGAGATCTGTTTAGTTTGGTTTAGATTGCTTTGATGCAAAATATATACGTCAGCCCATATTTTATTTTTCCTTATTCTTTTTTACGATCTGTTTAGTCAGTTAAACTCACCCACCAGCAAAACACTGAGTTTCTGCCCCTTTTTGAAAATGACAACTTTTACATCACATACTATGTGAAGCAACCTGGTACCAGAGAGGAATTTTATGACCACCAGTCACATGATCAGTTTTCCCACAATGAATAGTGTATGTATGAACCTACAGTATCTGCAGGAGGTTGCTAAGGGGCAAAAAGACTACAAAAAGAGATTTATATTCAAAGTGTAATGTTAAAGAGAACTTGAGGCCAAAAGCAGAAGACAGTGATGACAAGCAGTGTTGTATTTCTATATCTGTAGTCACATACTATACATGTACAGTGAGGTCTAAAGGTCTGAGACCAATTTATCTATAGTGAATATGTTAGTATTGGATTAAAAGAGAGCCTACAGAAGCACATTGTAGCATTTTTGATTCATGTCGTTCTTTTTACTGTAATAACAATTTGGTTTGTGCAGAAAGAAAAATCATGAAACAAATAATTTTAGCACAGCATAGTGTAATGCTACTGGTTATACCAGTGTTTTTTCAGGTCATTGTCAAATGATTGCTAGTTTTCTTTCAGGGACACAGGTGAAGTCAGTTTTGTGGGTTGGTTGCATTGGTGCATTTTTGGATGAAGATTTTTGATAAAGTGAAGTCAACAGGACAAAATATATGAGAAGCAGATACCAGTGCAACTGTCTCTCTCTTTAATGAATACATCACAATACATTTATGTCCTGCTTGGTTTTTACGCCCCTATATTTCTTGGTTTAAAAGGCATCTTGATAAATTTACTAAGCAAATTTGGAACGTTGGCTCTGCTTTCAGACTCTACTGATAAATAACAATGGACAGTAATTCCCTTCATTTCAGACACTTTCAATATGAATCTGCCCAACCAGACCAGACAGTGTTAACTCCTGTCTTATTTCTGTTTCCCACTGAGACATAAATGATAATATAACTTTGTATGTAATCAAGTCTGTGATCTCTCTCACCTTTGGGGTTTCCCAAGGTGAAATGAACTCTCTGAGCTCTGGGGTGTAGAAATCAGACTGACAGGTGAAGCTGCTGCTCAGCAGTGTGCTTTTCTGCCAGAGAGGTGCAGCACTGCTCCAGCCACACAGGCTGCTGGGGCAGCGGGTCGGGGTGGGGGGAGAGGGGGGGCGGCTGTGTAGGAGGAGAGCAGAAACACGCTCCTGCAGCTTCACCAGGGCCGCCTGAGCATCCTGAACGAGGAGGAGCGGGGGAGGACGAGGGACGGCTCCTTTTTTCTTCTTTCTGCGCCCTTTACCTGCACCAGGTAGAGGAGACACGGTTTACATGCCGTCTGCATAAGAGAGACTTTTTTCTCAGTGCTAATCAAAGGCAACTGGATTAGCTTGAAGTTCTTGAAGATGTTTCAGTTCTTATCTGGAGTCCAGTTGCCTTCATATAGCACTGAAAAACACCATGAGACCACAAACATCTCAAAGTCCCGACATCTGCACATAAATTGGGTAATTAAGTATAATTCTTACTCATCATCTATGCATTGGGCTACTACTACCCAGACAATAACACAACTGTACTGTAAAACAAATCATTTGCCACATTTTATGCCATGTATGTGCATGTTAAATGTCCAACAGATATTAGTGAAGACACAACTTTAGGCCTCGCCAAAGGTAACACACACATGCAGACACGGAATACACAGATTGTGTTCTAAAATATTTCTTCTAGAAATGACAAAGACAACAAGAAAACTGCTTCTAAGGATTACTCAAAGTAAAAATGTTTTACAACTCCCACATTATTAACCCAATAAATTCACAGACATGACAAAGTGTAAAAACTCCTCTGTTAAAACCCAGGCAATTTAACTGTTAACATATAATTAACTAAGTTCCTACATACTTCTGTCTTAACACGACGAGAAGAGAATAAAGCAAATAAAAAGGCAGCATCCTATGAAAATGATCTCTAAGGATGATGTTACTACCAGAAACATAAGTGTATCTGGTCTGATATTAATTTATCAGACACATTACCTGTGTCTGGTTGCCATTTCAGCACTGGAGGCATGAGAGAGGCAGAGAACTCTGTTTTTAACTCTCTCTGTGCCCCTCTCTCCTGTTCCAGCAGGGAGGAGGACAGAGCCAGAGCCACCATGGTGTCTTCATCCAGGGGATCGGTCTTCTTCCTGGGTTTCTTCCTCGCTGGGACTCCCGACTTGGAATGGCCTTTCCTTTTAGTGCCTCCAGGCTGTGTGCGTCTGTGTGAGGAAAAATAATACACAAAGGCTATAGAAATATTTAATTTAACATTGTAAGTACAAACTTACTTTGGGATGAAAACAAGATCTTTATATTGTAGGAAAAGAGAAGCAATGAAACATGACATGGTTCAACATTCTCTCTGTTAATCAATCAAGAGAGAGAATCCAATCAAATCCAGCAATTAGAGAAACCTGGTCCATGCATGGACGATAACAGTCATCATCAAAAGCCCCCAAAAACTTTTTATGGAGCAGGCGCATCACTTATTTTTACTGACAGTAAGCTCAGAGGTTAATTAAGGTGTTGTCTTGTATCTGGTCTGACATAATGAGGCTGACTCACGCTGGGATGACAGTTGGGACGTTCTGGGTCTCCTCAGCCTGTCTATGCAGAGCCTGCAGCAAAACAGCAGGAGCTACCCCCATGTCTGAGGAGCAGCGCTTCAGATGGGCCGAGCGACTCTTCTGGGAGTTGAACTTCTTACCACAGATTGGACATTCAGGGACAGCAGGAGGAGGAGGAGGGTGCGGGGTGCTCTCTTCACTGTCATCTAAACACCTATAATGAGGGATCATTCTCACTGTCAATGTGACCAACAGTCATTTGCTCGTCTATGAGTTGCAGTCCAGAAGCGAAAATATTTTTTTCTGCTGCAAATCTCTCAGAGTCAGATGAGCAAACAAGCACCAACAATAAAAATATAGATGTCCAAACCTGTTGGTATGTTGCGTTCGCCCCTCTGGGGTCATGTGTGACAAGTCTCTGTGGCAGATCTGGCAGAAGAAGAGGCCTCCATCCTCCAGGTCCAACACCTCGGCCTCTGCTGCCTCCTTGTCCAGCTCCTGCTGCAGCCGCAGGGCTATCGCCTCGTCACTGTCTGGGTGGAGACCAGAAGTGCAGGGTTCTGGAGGATCTGCGCACAGATTCGAGGGTGGACCAGATCCAAAACACAGACAGATACAAGAGATGAAAAACCAAAGCACAAGCGAACCATGAGCTAATACACACTAAGAGACCTGCAGAGTCTTTGTTGGTTTGTCCAGACAAGCGACCCTGCTCACATTACACTTTGTCTATCAAGGAAAGGTGGCGGTGAAAAACAAGCTGAATTACTTCGATCACACACGATGATACTTTTTAAAGGAGCAGGGGGAGAAGCCTGGCATGTGTCTCTGCTGCTTGCTGGGGTAAAGGATGCATTAGAAACCTGTTCAAATAGCATCATGTCATGTCACCTTGTCCTTGTGCCTGTGGATTCGGAGTGTGGCTGTTCTCGTGGTTTGTTGGCTGGCTCGCGTCCCTGTGCACCATCCTCTGAGGACTGGTTCTCGTGAACTGTTGCATCCTGAGAAGCACTTTGTCTTTCGCTGTCAGGACTCTCTCAGCTCTAGCTCCTGAAGGGAAATCCAAAGACCCAGCATCTCCTGAATCACAGCCAGTTCCAGTGCAGACAGACTGGGTCCCCGTGACTTTTGACCGAGAGTCACCATCCTTTTTGTTTTTTCTCTTCCTCTTGTCACTCTCGCTTGCCTGGCTGGAGGCTGACTGATGCTCTGCTCCCCGTGGTGGCTTGGCCTCACCTGGTTTCTTGCGTACACGTTTCAGCACCTTGGAACAGAGATCTACAAAATCCTGGTCAGAGTCGTCCATGATGGTGAGGTTTTGCTCCCATTGAAAGGTCAATGGCACTGCTGTCACGACCAGCCTGAAAATATAGATGGTATAGGTTGGAACATGGAGGGTTTGAGGTGTCCTTCTGAGACAGAAGCACAACCCTACCTAGGAAAAAATAAAGAATTAAACCCAAAATTACATTGAGAAAAATGTCACAATATCATAAATAGCTATGCATAAAAACAAACACTTGCAACTGGGAAACAGAGCATTCACAGGCTCTCTCTTGAAGAATTAGTTTTTTAATATCAGCACCTTCACTTCTTGTTGGCTTACAGTAACTTCACGACAAATCTATATAAAGCACATTTCAATATAATAGAATAGAATTTCTACAATAAAAAAATCAACTACTCTATTTTAATGACTTAAACAGACTATTTCCTTCAAAATAAAAGTCTCCACCAATTTACATAGGGATTTGCAGGAATTTAAAATGCCCTGTTCATAATTTTAGCACAACATACACATTTCTACATAAGCAGGGGCGTGTTAGCAATATCTAATAAAACAGCAAAGTTATCGTTTCATACAAACTTGTATCAGCTAACGTAGCTTCAATTGGAGCATTTTTCCACAGAAATAACGTTTGAGATCGTTTGTTTATGGTGAAAATATCAGTTAGCCGGCTAGCTGCTCATGCTAATACACAAGACTCACCAAGGTTTTAATGAATTAGCTCTTTAGCTTTCCGCCTCGTGGCTCACGGCTCTGCTGCATTAGTCCCTCTCCTGCCATTTCAAATCGAGTATGACTTCATGTGTCCATCGGCTGGAGAATAAAGCAGAAGAAAAGCTCAGCGAGGTGTGTTTACATTTTGAAACGACTCACACTCGACCGCGTCATTACGGGCTTCCGGTCATGTGACCCCGAGCCAACCAATGAGTAATCGTTCTTCAGGTCACGTGACTTAAGCTGCGGAGTGATTTGTCCCAACTTGTTCGATGACTGTTAATGACTGATCACAGAGCAGGTTCATCCATCGAGGCAACATAGTGAAACGTGATACATTCAATCTTTCCAAAAGGTTGTGTAAACCGTGTTTTCACCCCAACACAAAGTTTGACATTAAGGCCCTTTTACGATCTGAGTGGCTGTGGCTCTAAATCAAACTATTTAAAGATCCAGTGTGTAAGATTTAGGGGAAAGGGATCTATTGGCAGAAATTTAATGTAGAATAATCCTCAATGTTTTCACTAGTTTGCACTGCATTGTATGAATTGTAGTTTTCTTTACCCTAGAAAAGGCCCTTTATATTTAAATACTTTATATTTCCATCGAGGGGGTCCTCTCTACAGAGGCCACCATCTTTTTTACATTAGTCCAGACCAGGGTTATTATAGTTAACGAAAACTAAGACTCAAACTAAAATTAGCAATGAAAAAAATATTTAATTAACTGAAATAAAAATAAAAACGACAATTTCAAAAAAGAAGAAAACTAAATAAAAACAACAATGAACAATGCAAAACTAACTAAAACTAAACTGAATTGCAGATAAATTCAGCTTCGTTTTCTCCCTCGATTACTGCCTGTTCTGCAGGTGATGGTTAAAGAATGAAATTAAAGGACTTGATAAACCATATTTGCTGTCACACATTGTTTCATCCTTTTTCAGCTTCTACAAGTCAAGGCTTTCTCTTAATACCTGGAAAAACGAAAACTAAATAAAAACTAAACTGAAACTAGTCGATTCCTCAAAATAAAAACTAAACTAAAACTACAAAATCACTTGTTGAATTAACTAAAACTAAACTGAAATAAAAAAGCAAACTGAAAAACTAAATAAAAATAAAAACTAATGAAATTTTCAAAACTATAATAACCTTGGTCCAGACTGAACAAACTAAACACCTTTTAAATTTTTATGACAACGGAAGCTACCACAGTTTCTTTTTCATGTTTGGAAGAGGAGGGTGAATATCACTCAATTCTACACACTGTACCTTTAAACTTTAAAGTGAGAGACAAACATTACTCCTATTACTCCTATTCACAAATAGGAATTGATTTAAGTTTCCCATCAGAGATCCTGAGCTGAGCATGCCTCAGTTTTTAGTCTAATACATCTAATAATAGTAATAAGGTCATTTTCATTTTGCAATCATCAGTGATAAAAAACAACTAAACTAAATCCAACACTTACATCTAACTTAGTTCTTAAGATGTCAACCAGCAACAGCTAAATGTCTCACATTTAAGCCATATTGATATACATGTATTTATTACATGATATATTGGATTATTGTTAATGTAAAGTTTGAAGAATAAAACATCACTGAATTAACAGTTTTTCTTCATGACTTGCAGTATGACAACTTTTTCATCTCATAAAACTAGTTAATGTTTGGAAAATGACTGATTTTTAACCCACATTAAAGATTTTAACAAAGGTTATGACTTGAA